ATCAAGACATGTTATTAGAATATGTAGGAATTCTCAAAGGTAAATGGAGCCTTGAGGAGGTAATACAAAGAAGGGAGCATAGTCAAGACTCGATGAACACATTTGAAATGAAACATAGAAGGAAGAAGTCTAGACGACCATGGCGCACTACTGAGGCGGGACGCGAGGCCCCAAACTACTGGCCTATGTTTCGGGTGCAATGCTGGCGCGGGGCACTGGGACCAAAACTAATGGACGTTAGTGCAGGCACCTTGGTGGCGCGCCACCCCACCATTTTATCATAAAAAACTGACGAAGTTTCAAGCTCAACATTAAAGTTGTTACTAGTATTATTATAAGTGGGTAGACCCAAACTTCAAAGTTGAATTATCATTTTGCCCCTACACTAAATTAATATATTATAATTTTTTTTATCTTTTTAATATTAGATAGTGATCAAATGTCCCTAAAAAAATTAAACGACCACTTTATCATTCTCTTGAGTAACATTTACCAATATTCATCTAATAACTTATATTTATATAAAATTAAGAGAAAATGGTCGAATGAACCCCTAACCTATTATCGAATTCTCAACTAGACACTTATATTTCACAGGATTCGTATTAGCCCCTATGCTATTTTAATACGAAATTATTTTCTCCTAAATGCTTTGGTGGCAAAGAGTGTGTAGTTCACTCTCTTTGAGAGAGTTAATGTGAATTACAAAAACTAATTAAAAATTTAGTAATATTTCTTTTATTTTAGAGTAGCTTTTTTTTTCTTTTAAAAAAGTTATGTTTCCTTTTATTTTATTTTGATGTTTTTACAGTCTCTTCGTTTTTTAGCAGAGAAACAATATCGGCACCGGCGAGCAACAACACCGGTGACGACAACATTTTGATCAATCATACGAGCTTTGCTCCTCCACCTCCAGGAGCCCGCATCAACGACCTTCTATCAATAAACCTCTCACCTTCAAATTGACACTCCTCACAGGAACTCAACTAAAACTCCACAAGAAATAACCTTTGTTACTCCACCATGTGAGAACATATCCATCAATTACCAGTTTCGCTGAGAACCAACATCGCCACATTATCTATTTTTCTCCACAGCTTCAAAAAATTTTAAGTTGGAGAGACGACAAAAGACTCTGACTACTAAATCTAAAATGAACTTCTAATTGTACAAAAACCAAAGATAATTTGTGTATTTCAAGATTCCTACCGAAATAAACTAAATTATAAAAAGAAAACTATTGGCCATTCAAGTATTATTAATGTTGAGTCAAAATTTCATCAATATGAGAGCATTCAATTATTATTGATTTTGAATGAAAATTTCACAAATAAGAGAGGAAAAATAGATTGGGTAAAAATGGAGAATTTGACGGGTAATTTAACGACTATTGAATGAAGAATGGAGATTTTTGGAGATGGAACTGATAGAATAAAGATTATAACTGAGCAGGTGGTGGGAAAAAACCTTATATTTAAAGAATTTGAGGCAGTGGTGCAACTCCGATAAACGGCTCTGGGCAGATGGCTTCTTCTATGACAACAGAATAAAATAAATTAACTTAATTTGATATATGTAAAGGATTATTATGTGGCAGGCGCGTGCAAACCACTCCATGATACAAATGTAACTATTAAATATGTAATTTTCTCGTTCTTTTTTGTGATTACATCATTGTACTATATTAATTGATGATAAACGTTATTTCATTTGCTTTAAAGTTTTGTCATTTCAATATGTTGAGTTTATTTTAAAAGGTTGTGTAAGAGTTTAGTGTATTATTATTTTTAATATAGTTTTTTTAATTAATATTCTTTTAGGAAGGTGTAGGATAGAAACACTAGATAATTTGAGGTATAAAACATAATGTATGATCAAACTTATAATAAATTGTTCCATTCATGGAAGAAGTCATGATATGATTTCTTCATTTATATTTATATTTTTTCTTTTATCTTATTTTGAGAAATATAAATTCATTTTTTAACTTTTCATACATTTTGACATCCAAGTTGTAACTCATCTATCTATATTCAAAGCTAATATTTGGAAAAAAAAATTCTTTTAGCAGGAATCGATTTTTAATATTCCTTAATGTTGAAAAAGTCAAAATTAAAGGTCAATGACAACCTTCATTTATATTTGAACTTTATTAATAATTATTGTCTTTTCATTATTCTGTCTTTTTCTCCGAAATTTGTCTAGTGTATGTTAGATAATAATACACATCGATTAGGTTTCCTTCATAATTATAACATTTAAAATTAAAAAGTATTTTCATCTCTCTTTTAGCTCGACGAGAGATACTTGTTATCATATGTCAATTTATTACCTTATATGCTGATGTCAAAGAGTAGATCTCAAATATTTGAAATGATATTCTAAAAAGGATGGTATGATATTATTGTAATTTAATTGTAAGATGATTTTCTATATTTTAGTTATTTAAAATATTTTATGTTAGATTATATAGGATACACGTGTCTAGAGACTAGTAATAATAAAATATATGTACATACATGATTTATCAGATCGGTAAAGTTATTTCTTCGATTTTTTTGAAAAAAAGCAAAAAATACTATTGATTTTAAAAAATATAAAAAAACAAAACCATACCCAAATAAAATTTATTTATTGAATCATTTTGATATATTTTTGTTTGTTTGGATCGACTTTTGTCCAAATAGTGAACACCCCTAACCCACAGGTATACCGAGGATACTCTAACGCCCTAAAACAAACTAAGGTGAACGAGTCCCTTGTGAGTGTTTATTGAGTTAATTTTGTTTTAAAATGAGTTACTTTAGTGTTCTTGGCCAGTGTGTAAAGTTTGGTTAAATTTGGAAGTCATAGTCCAAGAATGTCCATGACTTTCGAAGGTGTGCCTAATATAGCGCTTGTGTCTCTTTATGTGTTTAAGTGAGTTTTACATGTTCATTTAATCAAAATCGATGTAGGATGTTCCTAAGACCTAGACGCCTTAGTTTAGGGGTTTAAAGTCCGAACCCCACCTATGACCCCCTAGGGGCCCTAGATTAAGGGCCCAAGACTACGATCAAGCTGCCAAAACAGTGACCAATAGAAGAACCTAAGGACAGTTTATTGGTCCACCAACGGTCCATCGAAGTAGGGCGTCGATTGGCCCTACAAGTCAGGATGAAAAGGCTCAAAATGGAGCTACGTCTCAAAAAATGCGACACCACCAACGGTCTGTCCATTGATAAATGGTTCATTGGTGAAAACTGCCCAAAATTTGTAAGTTTCTTGTGAAGTTTTGGGGTGTTTGGTAAATTCACCCCAAGTCTTTTATGACCCTGATGCGCTCAAATTATACTTACCTTAATAAGTACTATTTGAACGATGCATCATTAATGTGGTGGTTTGGGACACTTTTCACAAATGAGGTGAACCTATCCCAAGAACTACTATCAAACTCCCCCGGCAATGCCACAAAGTTGTTCACCCTATCTTTGTGGTTAAGACTTATAGGAATCGGTTAATACCTTTCTAGGAACACATTCCTCGACTCGAATTATAAGGCAACTCAGTAAACAAAATTGCGGCCTCTCCCATCAATGAGAGAGGGAACACCTTTAATCCAATGATATCCATGTCCAGGTATGGCCTCCTTACACAACTCTTGCACACTGACCTCAGTTTGTCAATGTGAGCATGTGGATCCTCAGATGGTAGCCCCGAAAAAAAATCTCTAGCGGTGAGCGTCTACATCAAGGTACTACTTACCACGAATGAATGAACTTGTGGTAGAGGAGGTAGGACAAGAGGTCCATCCGAATCAATGATGTTAACATTGACCTTATAATAATCTTGAGGGAGTTGGGCAGGAGGTTGTCTCTTCAGAGCGCTCTCATCAGGGTTTTCCACGATTACTTGGTTGTGAGCATCAACCGGTGGAATAAGTTGACGGTTGATCCCATCACCATGGTCAGCAGGATTTTGTGGAAAGTTAATTCTGCATAGGATACGGTTAGTTCTCCTCGACTCGTGTATTTGGAGCTAGACATGAAAGACATAAAAGATAAAGAAACAAAGTAAAATAAGGAAATTATTATCTAAATTTTAGTAGTTGCACTTCAAGTTAATCTAAAAGTCATTTTCCCTGGCAGTGGTGTCAAAATTTGATAAGCTCAAATTATGCTTGTCTAACGAAGTATTAGCGGCCGTATCAAGTAGAGAATCCAATTTTTAGGTTGGGGTCGGTCCCACGAGGAAAATTATTTAGACTTAAATCTAGTCAGCGATTACGTCTATTAAGTCAAGTCCTTTCTGGAAAACAGTAAATCAAACTAGGGGATTTTGTGAAAGAAAAGTGTTCAATTATTTCTAAGTAAAACAAATAGCAAAACTAAATCTTTGGTGTTCATCACGTGATGAGAAAAACTAGGGTGTAAGTGTTCCTCGTAGGTTGATAACACAGTAATCCTAGCTATAACGATTCTTTTCTAGTGTCTTGCATGCAAAGTGGTAAGTTAAATATCTCTAATTCCTTGGTCGAACAACTAAAGAATATCACCCCGCACCTCGGTCTAGCTACATCTGTCGAATTTACTACACCTTACCTTACCTCATATTAAGAATTATATAATGTATGGATAAGTTATTACTTCCCACACTAGTCTATTAGATAGTGTCCACTAAATCTATGTTGTTATTTTTTTCCTATTAACTACCTCGTTGGTCCGGCAAATAGAAATAGAGAAAGTTCTAACGCGTGCACTCGTTAAAAAGACATCTAATTAACACGTTAACAGGATGCATTGGGAAACTACCACTAGATCCCGCCGTTAAGAGTGACGTTGCACCATCAGTTCAGGGTCAAGTTGCACAGGTGGTGGTTTTGACAGAGGATGAGTAGCGTAGGTATGAGAGATTTCAAAAGATGGACCCACCTCAGTTTCAGTGTGGGAAGAGCTAGGATAGTCATGAGTTTCTAACTACCTTCCAAGAATTACTAGAGGTGGTTGGATTAGCTGAGTCACATGGGGTTTGATATGTTACACTCCAGCTTCGAGGACCAGCGAGAGACAGGGGTTTTGCCAGATGGATCTCCTCCAGTGACATGGGAGCAATTTGCTACTGCATTAGAAGATCAATTTATCCCTTGGAGCGTGAATGATAAGAGTCGCTTGAGGTTTGAGAGTCAGAGACAGGATGGTTTATTGGTTACACAGTATGAGGCACGTTTTTGCCAGTTTTGTACGCATGGGTTGGCGATTGTTCTAAATGAGACACAGAGGATCCGCAGATTTGTGAGGGGATTGACTTTTTCTATTAGGTCAGCTGTGTTTCATGCATCTAGGGAGGGGTCTTCTTTTCAGTCCATTATGAGCGCCGCCAAAGAGGCGGAATTGATTGAGAGAGATGAGTTTGGGGAACTTAAAAGGGCGTATATATTAGGTCAGTTTCATGGTGCCTCATGTGGAGGTAGGGAATCATAGAGAGTGAGTGGTTTTTTTCAGCAGCGGGGACCTATTCATGCATCTATGCCGACATTTGAGGGTGTCCATACATCTATGGGTTCTTATAGCTCGGGTCAGGGCTTTTACGGTTCACAACAGTGACCTATAGGGTGAGGCAATTATAGTGGGTTTTCAGGGTCCATGCAGAAGTTTCCAGGACAGAGTTTTGTTTTATTTATGGAGATCCCGATCACTTAATGCGACGGTGTAATCTTCAAAGGGGTCGTGATGGGCCTCGATCTGATTCGTAATTCTAGACTAGACCAGCAGCACCACAGGGTAGAGGTCGTGGTAGAGTTCAGTAAGGTAGAAGTGATAGAGTTTCTAGTAGTGGTGTTGCAGCTCAGCAGAGTGGGGGTAGAGGGACCACCCAGGCTAGAGGTGGACGAGGAGTCCAGTGTTATGCTTTCTCGGGGAGACATGAGGTGGAGACCTCGTATGCTGTTATTACAATTATCATCCTTGTATGCCATCGACCTACGTCTATGTTGTTTGATCCATGTTCTACATTCTCTTATGTGTCCATATTTTGCTGCTAAATTTGATATGATATGTGATAGCATGATTGAACCTATTCGTGTTTCCACACCCATGGGTAAGCCCTTAGTGGTGGATCTAGTGTATCGATCATATGTTGTTTCTTTGGCTAAGTATGACACTTGGGTAGACTTAATCATTCAATGGATGGAAGACTTTGTTGTTATCTTGGGTATGGATTGTCTTTCTCCTTATCACGATGTCCTTGATTGTAATGGTAAGATTGTGACATTAGCAATGCCTGGTGTTGCGAGGGTTCAGTTGAAGAGCGTTAGTGGTTTTTTTGCTAGAAAGGTTATCTCTTTTATTCGTGCTCAGAGAATGGTGGAGAGAAAGATTTGTCTTACTTAGCGTTTACTCAGGATACTAGTGTTGAATCACCTCACATGTACTCTGTTCCCGTGGTTAAGAAGTTTCTCGATGTATTTCCTTCTGATCTTCCAGGTTTTACTCCCAATCGGGATATGGATTTTGCTATTTATTTGGAGCCGGGAACTAAGCCTATTTCTATACCACTAGATCGTATGGCCCCAGCAGAGTTGAAGGAATTGAAGGATCAGTTGCAAGATTTATTGAGTAAGGGTTTTATTTGCCCTAATGTATCACCTTTGGGTGCCCCTGTATTGTTTGTAAAGAAGGATGGGAGTATGAAAATGTGTATTGATTAGAGACAGTTGAACAAGGTAACAGTGAAGAATAAGTATCCACTTCAGTTACAGGGATCATCATTGTTCTTTAATATTTATTTGAGGTCTAGGTATCATCAGTTGATGATTAGGGCATCATATATCCCTAAGAAAACTTTTCGGACTCGATATGGACATTAAGAGTTCCTAGTGACTACTATTGGATTGACTAATTCCCCTGCAGCATTCATGGAGTTGATGAATGAGGTGTTTCGACAATACGTTGATTCTTTTGTGATTGTTTTCATCGATGACATATTGCTTTTCTCCAAGACTAAGGAGGACATGTCTGACACCAGAGGATTGTACTTGAGAGGTTGAGAGAAGAGAAGTTGTATGCCAAGTTCTCAAAGTGTGAGTTCTGTCTTACTTTTGTGACATTCTTGGGACACGTGGTGTCCAAAGAGGGTATTATAGTAGACCCGGCCAAAATTGAGGCAATTAGAGGCTAGACGCAAATACTTCACCTACTGAGAATCGGAATTCTGTGGGATTGGCAAGCTATTATCGACGATTTGTCAGAGTTTCTCTACTATTGAAGCTCAAGTAACTAGATTGACTCAACAGGATATGCATTTTTAGTGGTATGAGTAGTGTAAACAGAGCTTTAAAAAACTCAAGACTTTGTTCACTTCAGCTCCTGTGTTGTCTCTACCTAAAGAGGGCGTAGAGTTTATAGTGTATATTGATGATTCAGGAGTTGGATTGGGTGGTATGTTGATGCAGAAGGGGAAGATGATTGCTTATGCTTCTAGGTAGTCTAAATCCGATGAGAAGAACTACCCTACCTATGATTCGGAGTTGGCGGCTGTGGTATTTTTACTTATGTTAGGGCGTCATTATTTTTGTGGAGTGCATAGTGAGATCTTCACTGATCATCGATGTCTTCAGTATATCATTAGCTAGAGGGATTTTGAACTTAAGGCAGCGGAGATGGATTTAGTTTCTCAAGGACTATGATGTGACCATTCTTTATCCTCCAGGAAAGTCCAATATTGTGGGCGATGCTCAGAGTAGGAAGACTCCTAGCATGGGGAGTCTTGCAACACTTAGTATTGAGGAGAGACCATTTTCTAAAGATGTGCATATATTAGCTAACATTCTTGTCTGCTTGCAGATTTTAGAAGAGAGTGATGGGATGATTGCTTTTATTGAGGCTCGATCTTCTTTTGTCGAGACAAAGTATTAAGAGGGGAAGCTAAGGAGGCTGTCCTTGATTCTGATGGTGTCTTGCGGATCAGAGGCAGATTTTGTGTGCCCAGGACAGATGATTTGATTTGATTGATTCTTGAGGAGCCCCATTGTTCTCAGTATTCCATCCATCCATGAGACGCGAAGATGTATCATGATCTGAGTCAACATTACTGGTGGTGTGGAATGAAGAGAGTTATTACAGACTTCGTTTTGAGGTGTTTGACTTGCAAGCAGGTCAATTGTGAGCACCAACGGCCTAGGGGTGTATCTTAGATGATGCCTATTTCTACTTAGAAGTGAGAGCGGATTACTATGGACTTTGTTGTGGGTTTGCCTACCACTGTGGGTGGTTATGACTCTATTTGGGTTGTTGTTGATAGGTTGGCCAAGTCTTCCCACTTCATTCAATTTTGGGTGAAGTATACCACAGAAAAGTTAGCCGAGCTATATATCAGTATGATTGTGCGACTATATGGAGTTCCTATTTCTATCATATCAGATCGAGTTTCACTATTTACTTCTCACTTACGGAAGGCATTACAACATTGCCTGGGTACTTAGTTAGATATGAGTACAACCTTTCACCCTTAGACAGATGGTCAGTTTGAGCGGATTATTCAGGTGTTGGAAGATATGCTCTGAGCGTGTGTGATCGATTTCATAGATAGATGGAATCGACATTTACCCTTAGTTGAGTTAGCCTATAATAATAGTTATCACTCTAGTATCCAGATGGCCCTAATTGAGGCGTTGTATGGAAGACGGTGTTGATTGGTTGGTCCGATTCGGCGGAGATGGATCTTTGGATACAGACTTGCTTAGAAATGCTATGGAGCAAGTCTGTATTATTCAGTATAGATTATTGACAACTCAGAGTAAACAGAACAGTTATGCAGACCGGAGATTTAGAGCTTTAGTGTTTATGGAGGGTGATCATGTTTGGCTCCGAGTATCACCCATGAAAAGTGTGATGAGGTTTTTAAAGAAGGGAAAGCTTAGCCCAAGATTCATTGGACCTTTTGATATTTTGAGCCGAGTAGCAGGTTCGAAAGATTAGGACCAAGGTGATTGCTTCAGTGAAGGTGCATTGGAAGCACCGATCGGCTAGAGAGGCAACTTTCGAGACAGAGTCTGACATGCGTGCCAGATAACCTCAGATTATTGAAAAATTAAGTACTTTCTTTCACTTCAAGTTCGAGGATAAACATGATTTTTAGTGGTTGATATTGTAATGACCCGCGAGGTTATTTTTGGAAATTTGAATTATCCGTATAACTTGAGTTAATTAATTAATGAATAAATTATAGGTAATTTATTTAATTAGTGACTAAAAGGGATAAATCCCTAATTTATTTAAGACCCTAATCTACATAACCAATATGTAGAAATAAATTATTAGGGTTAAGAATTTTTTGATCATAATTTACAAGAAGCAATAAAAAAAGGTTACGACTTCCCTAAGGCATTGTCGACGGCATTAAGCCAATATTTTTTTGTTTTCTTAAGAAATATTATCGAATAAATTAATAAACATTAAGGTTTTCTTTAAAATTTGTTTGTAGACTTTGATAAAGTTATGCAGTTTTGATAAATTTTATCGGTTGAAAATTTTAAGTTGGCAGTTGTTTCCTAGGAGAGGAAAATATTTAAAATATATTTGTTGAAGTATTCGTTAGAGTATCATTGCATGAACTTGGGACAATAATTGTCTAATGATGATTTGGGAGGCTTAAAATTTTAGGTCTGCAAAATGTTAGTAATCAGGGATTATCGTAGGTTCATCCTTCAATCTCGATATTTCTTTCTTTTTTGCATCCTTCTTTTAAGTAGCACATTAGTCTTTAATTTTTTATACATTGGAATAAATAATTGAATATTTGATATATTGTATTATGTGAATATTATTTAATCTATAATATTGGGGGAATTAGAACTAAACCCTAGGCTTGACATTTGATGAAAATTGAAGAGTTGACATGTTAGTCGCCATTAAGGTTTAGAATTGGATTATAGTAACATGGATGTTGTTAGATTAGAAATCTCATTGTGAATATGTACTTGAATAGATTCCATTTGTTTGGAAGATCAACAGAAAGGGAAGGCTCAAGTCCAAGAGTATTTATTCCATTGGCTAAGGCAAGTGGATTTCGAAACCCTTGTTAAGCGTACGAAATTCGTGTATTTCCTTGTGTGGTTTAAAGGATGACTTGGAGACTTGTTGCTTATTTTTTGGTGTTGTTTTCCTTTTTATAAATTGTGCTTTGTTATAAAAATGGTTATATCCTCATTTTCATTTAAGCATGTCATTTGCATTGGATCTAAGACATGGATGTGGCAGGAGGATGTACCATTTCGAGAGTCGTATCGTGTGCCGCGATGGATATTATATTTCGAGGGACGTATCGCATGCAGCTAACGTTACTATTATCGAGGGTAGTGTCGTGCGCCCCAACAGATGCATGGACAGATATGTCCCCTATAGGTCCCGGACTGAGAGACAACGAGTGTATATCGTTAAGAAAGACATGCATCACTATATTTGACATTGCATCTCATTGCATTGCACATTCTTATTATTGATGAATTTGAACACGTGTTTTTCTGATCTTGAGAGTGTTTCTCTGTGAAGCTTGTGACTGTTGAATATTGAGTTGTTATTGAGAATGTGTACACTGATAGAGTTTTGTTATTGAGTCTTGTGTTTGGTTAACTGTAAGCTGTTTGGCTATAGCGTTGATATGGTGTGAGAAGTATCCATATTTTTTTCACTTAACTTGCATTTAGAGGTTTGCTTGTTGGGTACCGCGTGGTTTGGTACTCGTCCCTAGCTTCTACAAATTTTTTATAGGATACGAGCCCGGATCTTCGTGATACCTGTCATTCTTTTCTTTTCCGAGGCATAATGTGGAGGTTTGTGAGATAGCTCCTTGTCATCTTAGCGAACTTCCCTACTCCAGTTTATAACTTTGTTTTTACTTGAAAGAAAACTTCACTTTAGACTTCTTTTTTATTTTGATCTAATATTTACATTAGAGTCTTCTGCACGTGACAACCTTTTTTTGGGAATTGAATTAATATGACTTTGTTTCATAATAGAAATTTTTGTTAGATTGTCATTTACTTCCGCACTTTGTTAGATATTGGGTTTTAGGCTGACTTGCCATGGTGGAATAAGAGGAGTGCCATCACACCCATTTTTCGGTCGTGACACAAACGACAGCAAGAACTAACGGTCCGTCGTCTGCCCGACGCCCCGTCGTTGGGTCCGTCGTCAGGGCCTGTTCGACTGAACATTACTAAAATAGGATAATATTTTATTCGAAGGTCAGTTTTAGCAAGATTTGTGGCTATGGAAAGATAAATAAATTATCTCTGTGTGTGTAAGTCATGGGACACCTAATTCGTTTTATGCTTCAAGATATTATCATATGAAGTTGACTCAACTGTCTTTCCTCTTAACTGCCTGCAAAATTTCTACCTACCGACCGTAGGTCAGCCTATGGACTGTATTGGTCATCCGTAGCTCTTGTAAAGAGTGGGTGAATAAGGGTATCGATCGAAGGTCACAGACTACATACCATTGTTTGACCTATGGAACGTCGATCAAGAATAGCCAATTTTTCCCACCTGAATTTTTGGGAGTTTCTTATCCCATCAACTGCTGTGCATGTTTGACTATTCGTTGCACCTGCAGATTTTTTTTGAGAAAACTTATTTTTGGTCTATTTTGTCTATGTGGTGTTACAATTTGTTTTCATTGGGTGAGTATAAATCTGGTTGTAAGTGGTTCCTTTGATCTTAGTATATGTTGATTACTATTGAATGTGAGTCGAAAGACATATTTGTTTTCGGTCAAAACAGAAAATATACAATTTTATCAGTGTATTACTTGTGCCATTAGTTGTATGACAGGCTTGTGTTGCCTTTTCTGTAATAATTTTATTAGATCAAAGTTAAATCAGTTGCTAATAGTGGATTCTATGTAAGTTATTAAGTGCATGGTTGTGGTGATAACTCCCCTTTGATGATATGCTTCAATGTTCTGCCAACAATAGAAGAATTAAGCAAGGTTATATTTTATTTCTCTGGTGATCTAATAATAAAAATTTGTAGAGGAAAAAAAGTTC